GGGCCTGCGTGAGTGGCTGGACAGCTGGTGGTAGTTATTCCCCAAGATGAGACTGGTAATCAACTCCATGGTGGGATCTACCACAAGCAACTGAGTAAGCTGCCTTTGGGGTGTGGTCTGCTTCCCGTATTTAAGAAGCCTTGGAAGTGGTCTCTGGCCTATGGCACACTTGGACCCTGCATGTAGCCATGTCGTTGCTCAGTAGCCTGCCATGCTCTGCCGACCTTGGGACTTACAATGGACTTAAGTTAATGGCCTGCCGTGTGGTTTGGTAACATCGGGACTGTGTCTTTTGACTTGTCAACCTTGGGGCTTCTCAGCCTCAGCAGCCATCTGAGTGAAGAAATGCCTCTAACTCCATTGGGCCGGGAGCAGGAGGCAGAGCTGGACCCCAAGGTATCTCATTGCTGTTTAACGTCCGTGTCAGTCTCCCGGAGGCAGGGACGTCTGTCGGTCTTATTTCCCACTATGGCCCCAGTGACCCGTACACAGTAGGCCAGGTCATCAACAAACATGTGAGCAAGTAACTGGACCTGTGACTCCAGCACCCCAGTCCTGGGGGATCCTACTTTGGTGACTAGCAGCTGGTGTCTTAAAAGCTTGTAAGCGGCCATCTAAGGTTTAACTGCTGGTCTCTCCCAACTGGAGCAAAGAAGAGTGAACAAAATCAAAGCTACAACGAAACAGCCCAGAGGACTCATGGACCCCATGAGCCCAGCCTCCACGACCCTGAGACCAGAAGAACAAGGTGGTGCCTGGCTACCACCGCTGACCGCTCTGAGAGGGACCACAATAGGAGGTCCCGGACAGAGTGGGAGAACAACGTGGAACAAAACTCAAAATCATAAAAAAGACCAGGCTTACTGGTCTGCTAGAGCCTGGTGAGACCCCTGAGACTATGGCCCCTAGTTACCCTTCAGGTCTGGAATCAAACGCATCCTGTGGCTTCTAGACAAACATCAGACCGGCCTATGGGATGAACGTTTACAACAGGCAGAGACACTCCGTGGAGCGATCAGTCTTGGGAAAACAGAAAGGCAGTGTTTTCACAGGGAGACAGCGTGGGGTGGGGGGATGGTGGGAGTGCACCGAAGGGAGGGACACAGGGAAGAGGTAACCGTGGGGAGGAAGTGGGAAGAGAGCTGTTGCACTGTGGGGAATTGCAGTCAGTATCACCCATTGTAGGGATCTGCAGTCAACATCATGAAACAAAATGTGTATTAACTGCTATAGGAACAATGAATTTCCTCTGTAAACTTTCACCTAAATCATAATAAAAATAAAATCATGAAAAAAGACTAGGCTTACTGGTCTGATGGAGACTTGTGGAACCCCTGAGACTATGGTCCTTCGGCACCATTCAAGTCTGAAACGGAACACCCCCCAGCCCCACCCCTGTACTTAGCTCAACTTTCAGCCAAATGACACACAGCCCTATAACGTGAAGGGTGACACCAGGGAGGTACGCTCCTTGGACGCTCCTTGGAAGAGTCAACCCTAGAAGATCAAAGGGCAGCGCGAGCCCAGGGAGACAGCTCAGAGGGCAGGAAGGGACAGGAAACAGGGAGGGAGATGGGAAACACAGGGAGGAACCGGGAAGAGAGCTGTCACATTGTGCGCACTGCAACCAACATCAGAGAACAAAA